GAGATTTATGCGATTAGTGTATCCCAAAGGCGAAGATTCATCGCTGCACGTTAGCTTTAACATTATAACGCGTACTCCTTCCTCCGTATAATTTCATCACAGAGAATTTCCTAGTTCGAGTTCCACAGTTCTCCATTCTCACGCTGTCCAATCATAGAATTTCGCCTCGATTGCCCCGCGAATCTCATTTATCATTGCGACATTTTCCTCGATCTTATTAGACCGAACGATCTCGGTACGACTTGATTTAGCGTTGAGCAAATTGATTTCGAATCTTGTCATGCATCACCAAACAATATAATTGCCGTTGTACGCCATTCTGCGCTTTTAAATAAAAGAATATTTATGTATACACAGCACATCACCCATATAAATTATTAAAATATTGTTATATGGATGTAATCCACGATTCGTTGAACGTATTCATAATAAACGAATTGGACGATTGAATGAATTCATAAAACTTAAATAACAGGAATGGATATATCTAACTAAAGTTAAAATTATATAATTATATCATCACGGATTTGACGGTATGAATGTCTGAATACATAAAAAACGGGATAATATAATGGTTTATGGTAATATTAATATAATAAATAATATTTAGATTATTGGTTTTTCCAATTCAAATGACGATTTGCATGAGCGCTATCAGATTATTGGTCTGCATGAGCGCCATCAATTTATCGAGTCAATTTTAAATTAAAATAAAAGATACAACAACACGCTTTATATCCGGTGAAGAATTTTTATTCTTTTGTTTTAAAAACTCAAAGAAACATAGAAAATTTAAGGAATAGAATAAAAGCAGCACATAAATAACACTTTACTAAAAATGCGAGAAAGTTTATGTTTGTTGAAAAAGATCGGCGAAATCGAGACCGGCGCGTAAAGGATTGAAAAAACATATCGTATAAGCAATAAAGAAAGAAAGAAAGAAAAGTAAAGATTAAACGAGAAGAAGAGAAGAACAAGTAGGAATTCAGAGAGAGAGAGAGAGAGAGAGAGAGAGAGAGAGAGAAGTCTTTTGCGAGATACGTTAGCTATTTGATAACTATCGCGAAACAAATATTTACAAACAATTTCAAGATTCCAATTAAAAAGTAGAAATCTTTTATTTCAATTGCAAAATCTCAATCTCAACGACTGATAATCAATAGCGTGGAATAATAAAATTCACGCGAGATATGGAAATAGGTTTGAGGATCGCGCTCGCGTATCGATATTTATGTATATCCGTACCCTCGTACCCTCCTTAGATACGTTACTGTACATACACCTTGATTGAGCTGCTCTCACAGCAAGGTTGACTTTCCAGAAGGGGAGGAGGGGGAGAGGAGGGCGAAGGTCAAACCGCATGAGGGAAGTTGGGGAAGGAGGGGGCCATCTTTGCAAGAAGGAGAGAGAGGAGAGGGGGGGGGGGGGGGAAGAGAGAGGAAGAGGAGGAAGAAATCCCGCAGGATACGACCCAGCAAATGAGCCGGAGAATGCAAATCAATCCCACGACGCAGGGCTCGAAATTGTGCACCTACGCTCGAATGCGGCAATCCCTTTTCCAGGGCTTTGCTGCTTGTGCCAGGATGAGGTAGGAAGGGAGGGTGGCGGTGCGTTAGTAGTGAACCGTCGCCGACACCGACATACAGCCCACGGAATGCTCCCCTAGGGTACGTCACTGCAACGGTGCAATGGTGCAACGGCGCAATGAGACCGAGCGTGCATTATCGCATCCGACGTGTCCGACGCGACCGGGAGAACCGCCTACTGCGCGATCCTCTCTTCGGGGAATAATGTTCTCCGACGCTACTCGTACACTTTGCTCGCTCGCGAATCTTCGTTGCGGACCATGTGGCTCTCGATTGCATCTTATTTCTGTGAAACGACCCAATACATACCGGTAAACAGATGGTACCTTAATATATATTGTATCTCCTTGTACGATTTTTTTTCATATTACTGGCTACGCGTTAGAATAATGCAAAAATAAGATAGCAGTTTGTTCCGAATGGATTGTGTTATGTAACCAGAAGACGAGATCATAAGACGAGTGCAATTTGCAAAGACTATCTTATTTCTGTGAAACTAAATCTTATAGTTTGGAACAAGGCTTTGATATTTGAACTTTGTTTTGCTGTATTTATTTTTGCATTCTTCGTTAGATTTTGCAAATTCTAATTGTAGAATGTTCGATTGTTTTAACAAATAAAATTGCTTTATCTTGAAAGTTGCTTTACAATGATTTAGTATTATTATAATATAAATTACGTAATTGAAACAACACGTTTGGAAAAGGTATAAGAGAGATAAATTAATTATATATTTCTTCTGTGTTTTTTCGCGACTTTTCTCCGCATCAATTTTATACTTGTAAAATTATTTTATTATAGATTAGTAACACACACATGTATATTTTTTAAAACCTTTTGAACAACTCTCTCTCTCTCTTAAGATTTTTTTTTTTTTAAAGGGTTTACCGATTTTATAATATCACTACATTATATACATTCCTCTTTTAGGATAAACTCTCTATTTATAAGCCGTTCTTAAATCTCTGATATTTAATCTAAATTTAAAATCTTAAATCCTGAGTTTAAATATCGGCCAATTACATCAAAATATAGAAAAAAAATTTGGATAAATTTTTATTTGAGAGATGCCCAAATACTCATTAAATTTTTAAAAATGTTTGTTTAACAAGATTATATTCTGATAGGCAACGGATATCGTGATAAATTTTCGTTTGATGAATATGAACCGATTGCGAAAGAGAGCGCATACGGTTACTTTTGCAAACGCGTCACTCGTAAGAACATGGCGATGACGGGGTCGAAGACGAGATTCCCTTTGTCCTAACCGCTCAAAAGGTTTATCGGAGCATGACTGAGAAACTCTATTGAAATGCAATTTAACGAGATGGAACGGTGGGGAAGACTATCCAGAACGGCGATTATAGCGAAAACGACAAATGCGCGGTCGTGGAGTAAGGTACCTCTTCCGACCGGATCAATCGTTCCGAACATAATATCAAAGGTAGAATTTAATTGCGAATGGACATAGATATAAAAATGAATTCGTTACTCGAGTTTGCAACTAATTTATTATTCGAGCAAAGGAGGGACACAGTAATGCTTTCATTACTTGTAATTATCGATAACGATTTCATTTTGTCTATTAACTTTTGACTTAATAATTTCAGAGCATTTATTTAATAACAATATATTTAAAAATCCGTATATCTTGCGAAGAATTTTATCGAGCACTATGGATGCGCAAATATGTATGACAATTACGAAAATTACGATACAGGCAACTGATTTTTGATTTATTGTTCCGAATGCAATAAGGATAACTCTCGATTAAGAAAATGATAGGTTGCTGCGATAGTGTATTTTGATCACGTATATTGGTGAATTATTGCACTGTTATTTACTCCATATTCGAGTCTCGTCACACGAAAATAATCTCCTCAATCTCTTCTTCCTGTTGAACGTAATCATATTAAAACAATTTATGAACGTCGAATTATGTTTTTTTTTTGAGTTTGGAAATGTTACGCTTATGATCGATGCCTTTAGGACCCGTCTATCTCGAACAAACATGAAAAGCCTTCGCAGCGAACGATTTTTAAAACGGTGCTCTTTCTCTCATCAGTGAAGCTTTATGATATATATGATTGTCATTTTAATAACTTATCAACACAAAATAATGCATATTTTTGGATACTGGACATGTGCAAAAACTGCGTTGTTGTAAAGATTTTACGAATTTTGTAATTTTTTGTTCTAGAAAATGCACAGTCGCAAATGTATTTAGAAACAGTATTCCCTTGTGTCAATTTGAATATTATTTCGTACAAGGCGCAGCCATGAGATTAATGTTTAATCGCGTGATATTAATGCACTCGGAAATATTAACGCGTGTTCACCGCATATGTAAATGCACGTCCATATGTAAATTGCTTCCCGGAAAACTATTAAAACTTTATAAATATATATCGAGTAGGCCACAGACGCTCCAAATTAAACGCTCGTTGGCAATCTGTTAATTGTACAACAATAAACAGCACGTTAAAAGTTCGAGGTCCGAAAAATATATTTATGCTACTCTTAAAACCGAGAGAGAACCGATTCAATTAATAGCGCGATTCAACAATAGAAATAATCGAACGAGGAGCAATTAAGGATACGATCTGAAGCCGGCGTACGAATGGAGCGCGAGTTCATTTCACTTTTATTCCCGACTCGTCAGTACCTGTTCGTTTCCACGACTCGTCTCTATTGTACCGAATGAACCGCAGAACCGATTAGTCCCTGGATACGTAAATTGCGTCCATGGTAAAAGCGGCTTGTGAATAGATGGATGGGGTACTCTTCAGTAGCAAAGGTAGGCATATTGGTCTGCCATACAAAAACCCATACAATTAGCTCCCAGGATCTCACCGCCAATCTATGATGAAGATTTGAGATGATGGAACGAGCACCAGCACATATGTATATTGCACACAAACTTGTCATGTGTGTTTGTAACGCCATTTATAATAATAATCATATAAGATCTTTAGATTTTATTTGTGAGAAATGATTGCAATAACATTTAAGCTTCTTAATAACTCTTTGCAGCATCTTTTTGTTAAATCAAACTCTCGGACGGATTGACTGTTTTCTCCCGTGCATCTGATGTTTCAACTTTTAGAAACTAAAAAACTTTGCCTGCTTAGTATCCATACTTAAATATCATTTCCTTAAGGACGTTAATGCATATTTTTTGTAAATATTAAAAAATTAATAGTTGAGGGGGAGATTGTAACATATTTAAAAAAAAATGCGATGTAATTACGAATTATTAAAACATGATATATAGAATATAGTATTTTATAGAAAGTCACAACAATGAAGGGTAGTTGTGAGCTTTCAGGCTTATCTGCTTAGTATCTATTAATTATTCGATCAACAGTTGTGACATGCGTTTAATAACGTGTCTCGTTTAATCTCTTGTTTCAGATACGATCCGGGAGCAGACAATCTCTATGCTATTACATGGTATAAGGACCACGAGGTATTCTACAAATATATACTACAAACAAAAGAAGGCCACACCTATCTCGTCAATGGTGTTAAAGTTGACGTGAGTAAAATACCCTCTCGTATCTCATTATATTCCAGTGTGCTATTGTGTGTTTTCAGATATTGAATCTTTAACATTTCATCGTATACAATGTCCTTCATTTGATTAAGAGCATTTCGCTTCTAAAAAAGAATCGGTAAACTTTGTATCGGATATCTTTGTCATAAACATGTAGACGTTTTTGAAATTCAAAAATTGACAAATTGGCGAATGACGCTTGTAAATGGAAGCAAATAAGTATGTCACAGATAAAAGATGTATGTAATCCGAATGTGAAATATTTTAACAGGAACGGATTAGTTTAAACCTAGATTTACGTTTACATCCGTTTCGATAAATCATTCAATGAAATTCGAACTCGATTGGAGATGCAGACAAATAAATCGAATTGAAGACCGCCACATCACAGCGATGCGTCATGGACGATGAATTTTGAGACAAATCTCGAAATCTATCGCGAGTACCCGATAAATTTTTCGAAGGCAACCCCCTGCAGATACGTCTTAAACGTCGATATATCCGAGATGCCGGGTAACAGGTTGGAGAGCCTCCGGGTCAAACAAAGTGGAGCTTTCGGCCTGATCTACGATACCAATTTCAGGGAAAAATCTTCGATTTGCTCGAGCATACGTAGCGGGAAGAAGGAAAGAAAAGAAGGAGGACGAAAAATTTGCTCTAACGTCACAGGTTATAGAAATCGGAACGACGGGAGAACTATCGGGAGTTCTCTCGCAAACGAAACCGCGAACGATGAGCAAACTTCGTTTCGAAAATATTTGTCCCGTCGCTCGATAAACGGAAACGGTTTTTTCGACAAGGAGCTTAACATGCGAGCTTTACGGACAATTCTGTTGCCTGCAACAAAAATATCTGTGTTCGTCGAGAAAAAAATATTGTTTGCCATCTAATCCCCAAAGAAGCATAGATTAATTCGATTTCGTAATTAACCATCTGACGATGCATAATCATATTGTGTATCACTGTAAAAATTTTTTTTTTATATAGCTCTAACATCTCAGGGATAAAATAAACTTTATGCCCTTATAAAGCATTATTACTTTACACTCTTATAATTCATCATATAGTTTCTTTTTTTTCTATGAAGACGTGCGCGAAGATATATAATAAATTCAATCTCTTCTCCTCTCTCATCTCTTTACTGTAATGTAATGAGATCTTTCTATACAAGTTAAGGATCTATATATATCTTATATCTTCTTTTTGAGATAATAAGTATAAAATGGAAGAAACATTATTAATTTTATTATTATTAAAATAGATCATAACATAATTTAGACTTTAAAATCACCAAAAGCATTCAATCATATATCACGTTATCAATGTACTTTCCTTGTCCCATTTTATATAGATTTGGCAAAGAAATAGACTAGGGTACACTATCAGGCGGTGTGGTTCGTATAGCGCGAGGGAATGTGCATCGTATATCATAGACCGCCATTGTACTCAACAACGTACATGGGAGCGCTCAAGTTTTACGGCTTTCCGCAAAGATTTAGCGGCGCCAATCTACTCTTTATATTACGAAGTAGATGAGGCTGAATTCAGAGATCTTTGTGAAAAGAGATTGCATGAGGGTGATGCATCCTGCTCCCGTGCCGTGATGCAACAGATATAGGTCACGATACGCTCATTGAAAAAGGATCGACCGCGTTTTTAATGGACACGCGACATCGGTGATGCGATTACGTGTCCGTGAAACAGGAAAATCGAGTTGCTACCAAATTTATAGCTTGTTTTTTTGGCTAATCACATTTGACAGGGGCTACCCACGTCGCTCAACCTTAATCCGCTCAATTTTCATCGATATCAATTCATAATAGCTGTTTGACAAATTATCACATAAAAAATGCGGTCTTATATAGCAATTTAGAAATTCAGATAATCTATATGAGTCTGAATTACGTACGTAATAAGATTTCATAATTTACAAGCCTTTGAGAGATAATGAAAGGAAATGTCAGCAAATGGAATACTTTGTGTAAATATAATCAATTGAATATATCATATATTCTCCAAGAGTACTAAGTCAATTTTATTTAATATAGAAGAATATATATGCATACAACATTTCTAATTTAAACACGGTTTATCTCCATTTTTTTGCGAATAATTATTTCTAAGTGCAAAAAATCCCATTCGTATGTAATCTTAATCTTACAATATTGCAATTTTTCTTTCCATCAAGTTTACTCGCGCATGTTTAATTTTAACATTTTATATACGCGAAGCAAGATAAGAAATAAGATAGATAACTATATAAACTTTCTCTCTCCTTGTCTGTTTTCTTATCTTACGTTTTAATATCTATAGATGCGATCCTTTTGTGTCACGGGACAAGCTGTAAAGCGCAATTACCTTTACGACTACATACTTGCTTTGACGTAGGACGCTTTGCGGTAGATAAGTACATCAAGCATATCTTAATAAGTTTCAAGTATATTACACAGAACATCTAAATTATTAATATTCTGTTTTCTCTTTCTGCTACGCCCTTCCTAAATATTTTATTCTGAGAAGAATATTATTAATTATTAATTTATTATTACTTTATTAATTATTAGTTAATTATTATTTTATTATTAATTTCGAGAAAAAAATGTAAATTTCTGCCACGTCTTTTTATGTATATTTCCTGAAAGCAATATAGATACTATTATTTTCTAATAAAATTCTGACCTTAAACTATTCGGTTTATATTTCCAATTTATAATTATATGTTATAAATATACAGATTACTTCAATTACACCGGTACTAAATCTCATATTTTGACCTAAAAAAGAAATTTTTAATGAACAATTATCGATAGCATCTGATAATTGAAAAATTATTTGACGACATCGATAGAAAAAATCCATACACATATACCTACATATGGCGTATCGAATAACCTAAGGTAACTGAGTTTAACTGAGTTTAATTGCTCGTTCGATCGTAAAGGAATCGTGTCGTCACTTCTCGTGAAGAGAGATTAAAGTAAAATTACACCAGGCACGGTACGGGGCGAGAAAGAATGTAGACATCGCGAAAAGAGAAGCGTCGAATCGGACAAATGTGAGGAATGTGTGTCGCGTGAGAAATTCGTGTAAAATATTTCGATTTATTTCTAGTCGCGGAAGATTGTGTCCGTGACGCGTGCTCGAAAACACTGCATGTATGTATATGTATATAAACAAGGTCGCGTAGGAATAAAGCGCTGCGCACTCAAAGTAAACAACAATGTGAATAAAATCCGACTACACATTTGTCATGACCGCAGACGGACTTAGGCAATCGTGGAAATCGCACGCGATCGCGGTAATATGCTTTGTGATAAAAAGAACCATCGTAATAGAAACGCCCAAATGCGCAACGCGAAGACAAACGAGAATATAGTACTATTCTCTGGGAATACGCGTCCACAATTTCTTTTTCTTTCTACGACAGGTAACTATTAGTGATAAAGAAGTATGAAAAAGAATATACGAGAATAACGAATATTATTGAACGTTGTGAATATTATGTATATTGCGGGCATAGAAAAATAATTCGAGATCTAATTGTCACAATAAGTATCTAAGATCTAGTTAGCCATTTTATATTTGTGGATTGTTTAATTTATTTACACCACGGAGAGGTACAATAAAATTATTTCTTGATTAATTTCGACAGGAAATTAGCAAATTTTTATTTGAAGATTAGTTGAAAAAATAATATGTGTCATAAATTTAAGACAAACGGTTCTATCCATAAGGTTTTAAGCAAGAAAAAATTGTCTTATATATATATATATATATATATATATAATGTGTCACGAACTCTGAGGATGAAAAGACGTCCGGTTCTGAGACATTTCGTGCAGTGTGCAGATGTGGATTCGTGCGGTAATTTTCGGGTGCCCCGATTCGATCCTTTTGCCGGCGGAAATGACCGCGGACCACGACAGCTTCGTCGGAGAAATCGGCCGTACGCGTGAGATATGAAGTAAACTACCGTGTCTCTAAAGTACGGGAGGATCGACGGTCTCCGTTCCGGCTGCGAGCGATCGTCTCGATTCCCGAGACGGTGCGTCCGCTTCCGATTCACGTTTTCGATGGCACGAAAGTTCCGCTCTTCTTGGCGCTCGTTAATATCGTCCGACGTGTAACGAGCATTACGTGAGCCGAATCGGCTCATCCCTTTCGCCCGCCGGGCCGCCGATCTTTCGAATCTCCTGTATTGGAGAGCGGACTATTAATCTGGCTCAGTCCAATGGCTCTCCGATATCGACAAAGAAAACTCTCCGTGGACAAAAGCGATCATGTCCGTCGGCCGTTGTTGCCTCTTCTCTCCGCGCCTGATTCTTGACGTGTATTAAAGTGTAAAGAATCACGAAAATTTAAAGAGATATAACGTCGTTAATCTAGTAAGTGGAGCGAACAAGGAGGGCTGTAAAATACTTCACTTTCTATATTTTACTGTAAATAGAGTTTTTTACAATTTCTGTTTATAATTTTTATAAATCTGTTTACACATGCACACATACAATTTTCTTTACACGCCTACAAAACATCTATAAAATAAATATAATTTTCAATTATTATTAGAGTACGAAATATATTTAGCAAAATTGAACAATATAATTGATTCATCTTTAATGTTAATATTAAAGTAATGATATATAACATATTAAAATTTATTTTGGCTGAAGTTAATTTCTGGTTTAACAAACGTTTTACCGATTAGATGACGAAAAAAAATTGTCCGCATTACTCTATAAAGTAAAGTGAGACAAATCTTAATACAGTTAAACATATTCTAACATAAATTCTTTTGTATGTGCACTAAATATTTTTGATGAACTTCAATAAGAGACATGGCTTATAAGATGACGTTATCATTTGATGGCTGAACATCGCGAAACTAACGTCGAGATTTTGATCGTGACTTATATAAACAAGAATATTCATTCTGTTTCCTCTGCTTCTTTTTCGAAGTTGCATGTGATAAATCGTTCATTGAA